CACCACAATCCGCACAGAGTAATATCCACCAGCTGACCATAGCTCATTCACGGCTCATGACTGATGGAAAGCTTTTGGTTTCTTTCTTATTCTGACCACCAAAAAAACTCTCTCCATGTATGAAATCTCTTTAATTGCTCTACATAATTGTTCATAATTTTCCAAGCAAAGCATATTTGACAATATATGAGCATGTACCAAAATGCAGAATTAAAGAGGTACTATTAGTCGCTGCTGGCTGCATCGCTCTGACATACAGTTGCAACCATGACACCTGCGAACCAACAAAGAATATTACACCTACAACAATTCACTGAAATTTCATAACAGATGTAAGTAAATTAATAAATTTAAAAGCTATGTGATTTCAGACAGTATTACCATTCAGGAATTTAATAATCAGTTTGTTTACACTATGGATGATATTCTTCAGGGCTTCTGTAATTTTTTTCTTATACATGCATTTATTTGATTTTGGGAATTAGCTTTGTTTGTAATAGTATATCCTTAAGAAAATGGTTTGATAACAGAGCAAAGAATGCGGCATTTTAGAAATGACACAGTCTTTACAGACTAATAATGAACATAAATATGAAAAAATAATACCATTGAAAAGGATGACATTAATTTGACAGAAAAAATTCAATCCATGTCAAAGGATGGTAGAAATTATCTAAAAGAATTTGATTGTTGAATTTAACAATCAAAATCTGTTAAAAAGTTATGATAGGTTAATAGATAGGGTATCTCTTGAGGAAAGCAATGTACATGCCATCCAAATAATGTCAAAGGATGAGATGCTATCTTTACTGGATAAATTTCTTGGAAGTAAATGTGCAGAATAAGGATCAGAGGCTAAGTAAATGAATGAAGGCACTAGAATTATATGCAGGACAAGAGAGTCAGCCTTTACAAAAGCCAGTGGTAAAAGGATTTGAAACAATTGAGGAAATTATCAGAAGTGATGAGCAGGGAGAGAAGGTACAAGAACAGGATTAAGCCTCACCAGTACGTGTCAGAGTCAGGGATGACTTACCCAGAGTTCTAGGTACTTATCCTGTAATCTCCTCTGATAAGCCATCTAGAACTAAATACCCTAAAGGATTCAAAGAATGAAAATGGCAACCTATAGGTATGAATGATCTAAAGGAAATTAAGCAAGCAATAGTATCTTATGGCTTGCATTCACCATTTCTTAAGGAAATGGTGAAAATGTGGACTTCAAGCAATAAGATTGCCCCACGTGATTGGCTTCAATTACTTTCAGACAGAGCACAGCTGCTATGGAAGTGCTATTGGCAAAAAGAGGCAAACTTTTTAGAACAACAGGAAAAAGCAAAAGGATTTGAGGCTTCCCAAGATCAAATCTGTGGCAAAGGCTATTACATGGAACCAAAGAATCAGGCTTTATATGACAAACATATCTTGTCACTATGCCACACAGCAACCTTAAATGCTTGGGACAGGACTCAAGAACATGTAATTGAATCTTATACCAGGGTTAAACCGGGCTAGAGAGAACCCTTTAGTGACTTTTTACAAAGATTAACTAAGGCTGTACAAATAGGAATAACAGACCCAGAAGTTGGACGAGTATTTACTTAATCTCTGACTTTTGAAAATGCCAACTTAGAATGCAAAAAGTTACTTGGGCCTTCAAAGGTCAGATCAACACCAATGGATAAATGAATCCTGCATACAATGAATGTAGAGACATTTGACTATAATACTGAGGCTTGGGTAGAAGAAACAACTTCCAATGGTATGAGGAGACACCAAAATGCCAAATTTTTTAATTGTGTTAGAATAGAACATCAGAGAAGGAATTGTAGGCAAGGAATTCCCAGAAATAATGTCTCCTCAGGGAATAATAAAATTAGATGGTCTCAATCTTCTGGATGATGTAGGAGATGTGACAAAGGTTAACATTGGATCAATGAATATAGATCAACAAAGGACAGACTGAGCAACCTGATACCATCAGGAAACTCCTTGGGGGACCTCTCTCAGGCATCCATGTCAAACATGATCCAGTCATTCCCAGTCACTGTGGAGAACAAGTCTCACCATAAAAATTAAAATATCAGTGCTTGCTGTAAAAACCCATTCTGTTCTGGACGATGGAAAAGACATGGAGGATGACTCAAAAATTCTAGTAAGAAATAAGAAACATATATTTTGACAGACTTCTATAAATCAAAGACCAAAACTAAGAGTGCATATAAATAACATTGTAATTGAGGGATTAATGGACACAGGTGTGGTTGTGATTATCATTACTCCAGGATCTTGGCATCTTAATTGGCCTCTTCAAGAGGCAGATGTTCAATTCCTAAAAATTGTAACTCTCTCTAAAGTGAAACAAAGCTTGAGATGGGTTGAATGCATAGGGACAGAAGGACAAAGAGGAAGGTTGAGTCCATCTGTGACTAATATCACACTGAATCTATGGGTTCATGACCTGCTGTAGCAATGAAATGCCCAGATTAACATTCCTGCAGTTCCAAAACCTTGTGTTTCTGGGAAGGATATTATAAAGTACTGTAAAGGTGACCAGCCACTCAGGCTGTACAAGAACACAAAGCAACTACCAAACTAATGGCCCTACCTTTAAAATAATTAACTGAGAAACCAATATGTGTTAAGCAATGGCCTTTAACAAAAGAGAAACTGCAGGCTTTAGAACAGCTGGTACAGGAGCAACAAGATGCTTATCATAATGAAGAATCAACCAGCCCTTGGAATCTCCTGTATTTGTTGTTAAAAAAGAAATCTGAAAAATGGCAAATGGTGACAGATTTAAGAGCTGTCAACAAGGTAATTCAACCTATGGGCCCACTACAATCTGGAATTCCTTTGCCTTCCCTACTACCTAAAGGACGGCTTCTTATAGGTATTGATTTGAATTGAAAGATTGTTTCTTTAGTATACCTTTGTAAGAAAAGAACAAAGAAAAAAATTGCCTCACAGTGCCTACTTATTCTCACCCTGCTAGGAGATATCAATGGATCATCCTCCCACAGGTAATGCTCAGTAGCCCCATCATGTGCCAATACTTTGTGAGTCACCCACTGGAAATAATACATAAACAATTTCCTAAATCTATAACTTACTATTACATTTTGCTATCTGATTCAAGTGAAAATACCTTAGAAAAATGTTTGAAGAAGTAAAGAAAGATTTGCCTAAATGGAGATTATAAATTGCTCATGAAAAAATACAAAAATAAGATTCTGTCAATTACCTAGGTTATAAAATACATTTACAGAAAATTAGAACACAAGAGACACAAATTAGGAGAGACTGATTGAAGACTCTTAATCACTTTCAAAGATACTTCTAGTCTACAACCTGCTGTTAGGATAACACCTGATCGAATGATTTATTTAAATAAAACCATAGATGGTAACAAAGACTTAAATAATTCCAGAGAATTAACAGCTGAAGATGACAAAGAATTAACTGTGGTTGAAGAGAAATTACAGGATGCATATGTGAACAGGGTAAATCCAAATCTTAATTATATCTTAATCATATTGCATTCCAGAATTTCCTCTACAAGAATTTTAATGCAGAGAGAAGATATTATCTTAGAATAAATCATTTATCACATAAACCAAGTAAAAAATTAAAAGCTTATGTGATAAAGGTCTCTGAATTAGTTATAAAAGGAAAATTGAGACTTTGTCAACTAGTAGAAATAGATCCAGCAGAGATTATAGACCTTTTACTAATTATGAAATTAACAAGCTATGGGAAGGCAATGAGCCCTGGCAAAGAATTTTGCTAAGTTTTTAAGACAGATTAGTAGCAATTATCCCAAAAGTTATAGAATTAACCTTATAAAGAGAACTACTTGGATTCTTCCCTGAATTGTATGTGACATACCAATGACTGAAGCATGTACATTCTATACTAATGCAAATAAGTCAGGAAAAGCAGGTTACAAATCAGAAGATTTAAGTAAGGTGGAAAAAATCCTTCTAATTTTGTCCAAAAGGCTGAGTTATATACTCTTATCATGGTACTAAGCAATTTTTAAAAACTCTCAATATAGTTACTGTTTTGCCATATGCAGAAAGAGTTGTCTTGCATATTGAAACTGCTGAATTTATAACAGATGATACATAATTGACTTCATTATTCACTCAGGTTCAAGATATAATCAGGAATAGGCTTTGTCCAATATACATAACACACATATGATCCCATATGGGTCTGAAAGGCCCTCTAGCACAAGGTAATGCAGAAATTGGTCAATTATTGATTAGAAATGTGCTGAGGCCTCAGAATTTCATTTAAAAAAAACTTCATGTCACTAGCAGAGGTTTAAAGAGTTTTCTATTACATAGCAACAAGCTAAGGAGAATTTAAGGAAATGTCCTACTTGCTCTTCCTATAACCCAAATAGCATTACCTACAGAGAGTAACTCAAAGGGTACTCAAATGAATGAAATCTGGCAGATGAATGTGTTCCACTTACAGAATTTGAAAATTTTAAATATGTACACCACACCATTGACATTTATTCAGGTTTTCAATAGACAACAACCTTGAGCTCAGAAAAGGCTGATTCATGTATTTATTAGAAGTTATGACCATTATGGTTATACATGCCCAAATAAAGACAGATAATGGTGCAGCATATACCTCTAAGAAAATGAAACAGGTTTGTTTTGCTTATTATAATATAAAGCATATTACAGGTATATCAAACATTCCTACAGATCAGGCAGATATAGAAAAATCCAATCAAACTGTAAAGGATATGTTAAACAAACAGATGGAAAATATACCTAGAAATAGATTGGATAATGCTTTCTTAATCTTGAATTTTCTTAATGCTAATGTGAAAGGAACAATGGCAGCAGAGAGACATTGGATAATAGAAAAAACTTCTGAATTAAATCAGATGATGTATTTCAAGGATGTGTTGACATCAGAATGGAAACCAGGAGATATTCTATGTTGGGTAAGAAGTTTTGCTCTTTTTTCCACAGAAGAAGAAAAGCTATGAATACCTTTAAAATTAATAAGGATTCAGTTTGAAAAGGAGAAACCTCTTGAGAAAGAGAAATGACAGCTCATCCACAGAGATAACAATCATACATGTGGTAAGAAAATCTCATAAAGGTTAGAGGTTCTGCTCTTGTCTTCACAGGAAAATATTCATCTTCAAAAAGTCAAGAGACCTTGGACATTAGATGCATAAAGAGGAAAAGATAACTATCTAGAAAAGATCACCAAGCAAAGAAATATGGCTTATGAAGACAGGTCATCTGCAGGGTAAAATATATATATATATACATTATATATAATTTTATGTATACATTTTGTGTGTGTATATATATACATATATATATAGTGGGACAATTCTGTATTCTGTCAATTATGTTTCAAATAAACATTGATTGGCCAGTAGCCAGGCAGGAAGTATAGGCAGGAAATCAGACAGGAAGTAGAGAAGTAGAGACAGGGCAAGGAGAAAGGTTTATTCTGGGAAGAAGGAAGCTCTTTCTGCTGTCCTGCCCAGACACAGAAGAAGAAACATGTGACCTGTCCTGCTGAAAAAGGTACAGAGCCATGTGGCTAACATAGATAGAATAATGGGTTAATATAAGCTATAAGATTTAATAAGAACCCTGAGCTAATGGGTCAATCAGTTTATAACTTATGTAGACCTCTGTGTGATTTCCTTTGGGGCTAAACGGCTGCAGTAACTGGGCAGGACAGAAACCCAAGAAGCAGGCCCTCATGTTACACACACACGTGTGTGTGTGTGTTTCCCAGTAGAGTAATAGACTCACTTAAAAATCAAAGCTGGCTTTGGAGTTGGACAATAGCTATTCTTCTCTAAATCCAAGCATTTTATTGAAAGAAAAATTCAGAGTTCCTGTCTCATGTCAGGAGGCATCTGGTATGAGACAAAAAGAAGAAAGAATTTAGGGAAAATTTTACTTTTCTTCATACCTATTTTTGCCTTTATCATACTTTTCATTCATTTCATTAAATAATGTTTAAGTTTTCTGCAAGGAACAATAAATTTCCTGCAGTAATCTCCTTCTTCATGAAGTATGCATGAAGAAGATGGAGCCCCACAACCATGACTCCACCTGGTTGCTATGACATCACCAATGCTGAGAAAAGGATCCAAAACAAGCCCCAAAATAAGTTCATGCATGAACCAAGGTAAGAAAATTGGTCTATGAAACTCTGTCTTGGGAGCTGGGAATTTTCACAAGGTGAGAATGTGAGTAATATGTCAGACATGGGTTCAAAAAATTAAAAAAAAAGAGGCAGGGGACAAAAGGCCCAAGCAGAATAAAAGAAACCACCAATGTAGAGGGCTGAGTAACTGCAGAGAGGACAAGTAAAAGAAGAAATGAAGTTTCTCCCTCTAACATTTCAATAATCCATTTGGAAAGAATGTTGAGTTTCTGAGTAGACAACTCCTAGACCAAGAAAAGAAAAAAATTAGTGTTCCACACTGCTTGGGTGATTGAGACATCAGAAAGGTTGTGTGTGATTGAGACACTTCATCAAATGTGACATACAGCCTCCCAGTTCAGGACCTTTCCAGGGAAAGACTGATCTGGGCAGAGTGGAAAAAACTCAATATGGAACTAAGGGGGAGGATGAAATTCAAAGCAAATCTGTTAAAATCATTCTTATTCAAGTACTTGAAGTCTTAGCTAGAGCAATAACACAACTGAGGGAGATTAGAGAGATACAATTTAGAAATAAAAAAGTCAAGATATCTTTATTTGTAGGTGATAGCATACATAAGTGACCCTAAAAATTCCCCTGGGAAACTCCTACAGCTGATAAACAACATCTCTCACAAATACAGACTCACAGCCAGACATTACACAGAGAGTTAAGAGACCTTGGAACACTCAGCCCTAAATGGTATATCTCCATCAGATCCTGCCCTTCAGAGGTCAGGGAACTCCACAGAAGAGGAGGCAGAAAGAATATAAGAGCCAGGGGTGCTAAAGGACACCCAGAACACAAGGCCCTCTACAGGAACATGAACAAAGCTCACATGAACTTACAAAGACTAAAGAAGCATGGGCAAGACGTGCACAGGTCTACACCAGGTCCTCTGTGCAAACGCCTTCCAGGTTAGCAGTTCTATGGGATTCCTGAGTGTGGGAATGAATGGGCCTTATATATTCTCTTGGGTTCTTTTCCTTCTGTTTGTTTTGCCCAATTCCAATGTGATAGTTTTTGCTTTAGCTTATATTTAATTATCATCCCTTAGAATGTTTGTTTTCTAATGAGACAGAAAGAAAGTGTATCTAGATGGGAGGGGTGGTGGAGAGGAACTTGGTGAAGTAGAGGGAGGGGAAGCCATAATCAGGACATATTATATGAGAAAAGAATCCATTTTCAATAAAAGAGAAATAAACATAAACAATGTCAAAAGATATCCAAAATCTTCCCTTCTCAATAAGGAAATTTCCTCAGTTGATGCTCACACTTGGAGAGGCTCCCTGAGTAGGAGAAGAAATGTGTCATTGTCCTCCCTCACCAGTTCAGAGGTTCAAGTTTCAGAAGACCTAAACTATGGCTTCTGATAAAAGACCCATATGGGATGACTGGTCGATTTTATCAATTTCTTGGGTTCCAATTCTATATTTGGCCCAAGTTCATGTCAATACTGAGTATTTTCTTCTATGGCAAAGAGAAGAGGGTGAAAAGGGCTATCACCATGGCTGCTTGGGAAAAAAAAACATACCTGGACAATGTGTAACTAAAACAGGACAAAAAAAATCCCCAAACCAACAACCTACACAGGGTGTTAACAATAAAGCTCATGGAGGCCACACACCATCTTTGAAACTTGATCATAAGGGGGACAGAAGAATTAGCACTCCTATCCCAGAATATTGATGTGCCACAGGAAAAGATGGATCTACAGAGTTCCTAAGGATGTTAAAATGTCAGATAAAAAAGTAGTTGGAATTAGATATAAAAGAGAACTTGGGATAGGGATGCTAAAACTAACAGCTAGCCAGTGAAAGGGTTACTGAAGTTTGAGACAGAAGGATTGAAAGAAGATTCTAGAGAGGAAAAAATAAACTGCTACCAATATACGAAGGGACATTGCAAGAGGGAATGTCCTGCCTCAAAAAGAAAAAATACCCCTCATGACTTGTGATGAGGACTAGACATCAAGAAATGTATTACCACCTGTAACTGCAATTACAGGGAGAGCATGTGGTGGTCTTCACTCTGTGCATGCTTTCTACTCTGCCTTTTCTTCTCCCTCACATCAAGCTCATTTTGACAATAAGTCAAGGTGTTTGCTAAAATGTTGTCTATTTCTAACCATGGGGGGGGGGTTGTACAAGTACAAGCAAAGAAAATGTTTAGTGGCATGAACTGTGAAGGGAAAATATAAACAAAATATATTGTTTCTTCTATCAAAGGATTAAACTTCATTTAAAAAAATTTATGAAGCCACTTGGCAGAAATTGAAATTCCCCCAAAGGCCAGCAGTTTTTAAGAACAAAATACCTGCTCAAGGTTGTATACTCTCCTCAAAAGATAAACTTTGCTTCTCACTTGAACCATTTTGAGTTAGCCAACTGTGTATAAGTGTGAGGCCAAGCTCTGGTGACTCTGAGAGGCACAGGATTCCTTTACACTAGGAATAAAAACCCAATCAGACCACCAGTAGATGTTGTGGCATGATTTGACAGGGCTACACATACTTCTCCAGAGGTGAAACGTTTTGTTTTGCCAAAATATTTTGGACTATATCTTGTGACCCTAGACTCATTCATAATATAACCAGCTGTCCTACAAGTGTGACTGGCAACCTCACAGCATAGGAACTATCCAACCCTATCGCAGGAAATCCAGTTCATAGGAGTAACTTGCAAAACTTAAATTCCAGATGCATGAAACCTACCATCAAGCCTCGAAGAATTTGGGAAACTCTATGGTTACGAAGAATTTGGGGAACTCTATGGTTACGAAGAATTTGGGAAACTCTATGGTTACTCAGACTTCCATTTACTTTAAAATAACATCTACCTAAGGATGGAGGAAGGTCATTGGTTAAAAAATAAAGAAGCTGCTTGGCCCTGATAGGTGAGAAAATAGGTGGGTGGAGTAAACAGAACAGAATGCTGGAAGGAAGAGGAAATGAGCTCAGACGCCATGCTCTCCTCTCTGGGGCAGACGCAATGAAGCTCCGACCCAGGATGGACGTAGGTTAAGATCTTCCCTGGTAAGCCACCTCGTGGGCTACACAGATTATTAGAAATGGGCTAGTCCAGGTGCGAGAGTTAGCTGAGAAGCTAGATATAATGGGCCAAGCAGTGTTTATAAGAATACAATTTGTGTGTTGTTATTTCGGGGCATAAGCTAGTCAGGCGGCTGGGAGCTGAGTAGCAGGAACACAGCCCGCAGCTCCTACTACAACCTTATCAAACATTTGGGGGCTCTTTTTATTACAATTGTACAAAAGCAATCAATCTCCAATGGCAACAACGTTCATCAAAACTGACCAAATATTACAGATGACAGAAATCTTACTGGAAGTATAGAAATTTTAGAACAAACTAAATTCATTTCAAAATGAAAGATGTATAGAGAGTGGCTATTACTTTGATAGAAGGAAGGATCCTGTTTCAAAATGATTTCCTGAAAGACTGAGTAAAAATGAAATAAGCTACCCAGGACTATCCCAGACCTCAAGGTGGGAAAGAGCCTGTACTTTAACTTACCAGGATTATTGACAACATCAATACAAATGGAATCTGAAGTAGCTAAGGGACAACAGCCAACATTTCTCAGTGTAGAGTCTAGTACTAATGGCCTATGGAAACTTCAATTACAGAAAATAGAACTTGTAACCTAAAACCACCTCCTTAACTTTTTCTCTCTCTCAGACTGCTTTCCTCCCTACTCCATTTCTAAAAAATCCTAGGAGTGAGCCATCCTAGCATCATAGTGTATCAAACAATATATAGCCTCTATAAGCACAAGATATGGTGCCTGGCCAGTAACAGTTAACTCAGAAAGAAGAGACAGAAAAACTGAGAGCTTGGGTGGGGGATGGGCCCTAATTAAAGATGGTAAAAGGTCAAATGAGCTTCGGATTATAGACAGTTAAAATATTACAGATAAAAGTCAAAGTACCTTGGGTTTTTTTTAAGTTGCTTTGATATCCAAATCTTAAAATACATCATTAGCAGTCCATTAGCTTTCACCAGTCCAAAAGCTAAGGATGCTATCAGAAAGCATCTAAAACATAGCACAGTAATTCCGTTGCTGTTGCCTGCCTAGATGTGGACCCCACCAACATATTTGTTACTTTATTACGTTGTTTGGTGACTAATAAAAATCTTCTTTAAGTACTTCCTCAGTGAAAAACATTACTTAGGGAAACGAATTATTGTTCCCGGCCAGCCCATGGTTACTTATATTTAGCCCCATAATAAAATTCTATTCCCTTGGTGAACAGAATGATTTTACACCAACATTGGATAGAATATTAATATATTATAAACATTACTTAATTGGCTGTGACTTGAAAAGGAATAAAACAATATAATTTCTCTGTCAATTATCAGTTTTTAAGATTTCCTTCTTTTTTAAATTATATTTGTTTATTATGTATACAATATTCTGTCTGTGTGTATGCCTGCAGGCCAGAAGAGGGCACCAGCCCCCATTACAGATGGTTGTGAGCCACCATGTGGTTGCTGGGAATTGAATTCAGGACCTTTGGAAGAGCAGACAATGCTCTCAACCTCTGAGCCATCACTCCACACCTAAGATTTTCTTCTTTTAACTACAGGTGAACAGTCCATGAGGCTTCAACCCTACACAAAGAACTACACAAGTAACTAAAGAATGCTGAGAGCAAGAGAAAGTCTTCCCAGGGAAGAGCACACCAATTGACTATACAATACCATATGGTCAGTCTTGAAAACATACATACAATTAACACTATACAGATGGAGGTTGTATTTATGTATTTGGGAAAATATATGTATATTCATGTAACATGATGGCCAGCTTGTTGGGGGTTTCTGTCCTCCCACCAGATCCCAACAGCAATTAGATTCCAAAGAAAATCACACAGAGAGTCTGCATTACTTATAAACTGATTGGCCTATTTGCTCAGACTTCTTATTAGCTCTTGTAGCTTATATTAACCCATTGTTATTTATACTAGCCACATGGCTTGGTACCTTTCACAGCGGGGGCAGGTTACATGTTGCTTCTTCGGTGGTCTGGGCTGGACTGGAGGAATGGGCTTCCTTCTTCCCACAATACTCCTGTTCTCATCGCCCCGCCTCTACTTCCTGTCTGGTTGACCTGCCTATACTTCCTGCCTGGTCAATCAGCATTTATTTAAAACATGATTGACAAAATACAGACAATTCTCCTGCACCATATTCATACATGTATGTAACAACAAATAATGGAAATAAAGCTACTGAATTTAAGACAGCAAGAGGCATATGTGAATGTCTAGAGGGAGGAAAGGGAAGCAGAAATGGTGTAATCCTAGAATATCAGAAACTAAGAGATAATTTTTAAAGATAATTTTAAGGATTATAGAACTCTATCTTGCGTATTAGAAAAGTATTTACATTTATTATGTCTTAAATGTTTACAAATTCAATTGTAACTAATTCTCTCTCTCTTCCCCCCCCCTCCCTCCCTTCCTCCTAAATGGGGAGTTAGCTTTAATCTCACTAGTCAAGAGGCAGAAACATGCAGTTTGAGGCTAGCTTGATCTATTAATTTCCAGGCCAGTCAGGGCTATTCAGTAAGACCTTGTCTCAAATACACAAACACACACACACACACACCAAAAAAATCTTAGTATGAGGATGTCCTATTAAAATCTTTGACATTACATGAAATTTTCCAATTACTTTGTAATCTACCATTATGTCCACTTAGGGCCAGGCATGATAACATATGTCAGTAATCTAAGATCATCTACTGCTAAATAGGTAACTCACAGCCAGCTTGAGTTACATTAAGACCCTGTCTCAAGAAAAAAAAAATCAAAAACTTAGGCAAGAAACCAGCAATCTTTGTTCAACTGTTTCCCTGAAGAGTAATTAAAAATCTTCATACAAACTCAATGTTTTTTTTATTTAACTGACCATAAATTTCTGGTTTCTCAAAATGCCAAGTATAAGTCTTCTTTAGGAGATAAATTTAAAAAAAAAATCTCTGTATTCTATTTTTAAATTTTTAGTTACATAATGCATACAATTTAATGACTTATTTCTTCAGCACGGGAACATGTGCTGGTCTTCATCTGGGAATGAGGTTGAGGAACATCTAGACTGGATTCCATGTGTTACGTCTCCATTATTTGACTCCTGGAATCCTATGGCCTGGGCTTGCCCCAAGTAGAGTCTTTCCTTTTTTACACTTCTATGCCTGCAACTATCTGTTCTAGTTCAGGATTTTTGTTTTGATTGGTTGTTTTCTTTTCTCTTTCTCTCATTTTTGGTGGCTCATGTTCTCTAAGCAGTTTTTAGGCCAGACATAATGGAAATATTCACTTTTCTTATATTTTTGACACTTAGGTTCATCAAAGCCTTGCTTCATATGAACTTGCCTAAGGAATTTAAGTAGCTGTTGCTTACTGCTCTGGTGCAGTTCTGTAGTCTTCGTCCAAAAATACTAAATACAAACATAACTCTTCCTAGCACCTTTCCCTTTCATTATGAAACCTTCACAGCTTGGATCAGTCTAAGTTACATGCAGACACTTGAGACCAAGTCACCAACCATTTCTTCATGGGGAGGCCCAGGAAGTGAGAAGTACAAGCCATGGGCAGCTGGGGTTCAACCATACCTTTTCCTGACCCACTCAGCAGTGCTATCAAAGACGCTGGTACAGTTATCAACAGAAACTTTAAGACAACAGCCTGCAAGCAGAAATCAACCTTCCTTTTGTGTATAATCTTTACCCAGCTTTTTTTTTAAGTAGCTACTTGTTACTGAGTAAAGACAAAAATAAAACAGATGCCGTTACACCTGTTGGTGACACACAGATTACTGAGCAACTGCTACATGGGTTTAGCCAGTTACCCATTTGAGATAGGACAGTTGCTAGTCCTTCCAAGTGAAGAAGGATCTATTCAGCTTTTATCACTGACTTCATAAACTTGCAAGGGGGAACCTATTACATCAGTATTAAACTACATGTAAAAATTAGGATCAAAGTCCTTATTTCACAGCTGAGAACCTTTCACTAATGATATAAACATCACAACAACCAATTTATATCCAATAGTTGAGAAAGTTGTCTCCTCTTCCCACCTCTTGATCTAGAGACATGTTAGGATTACAGACACACACTAGTGTCCAGCTTTTTAATACAGCTTCTGTAAATTAAAACTCAAGTCATTAGGCTTATTTCTCCAGCCTTCTCAAAATGATTTTTTAAATCATGTAACTCATTCCATGAGTTTCTCAAACTCCTGAATTTTACAAAATGGTGGTTTTGATTTTTACATCCTTTCTGTATTATCAGTTTTAGTTTTCTTTTCAAAAATAATTATGTTGTATGTTATCTTCTCAGCATTCCACAAATCTTTCCAAACATCCAATATTTTCAGTGTAAGATTTCCTTAGGGCTGAAAAGACACTTAGAGAGTAAAGGTACTTGTCCCCAATACAGATGACCTGAGTTCAATTCCTCACATGGTAGGAGAGAATAAACTCCTAAGCTGTTCTCTGACCTCCAGAGCTAGCATGTGTGCACACAAGTGCACACACACAAACACACACCCATGCACAAGTACACAGGCACACACAAAATGATACATTTTGGGGGGGAGGGGACACATCCATCCACTCTGTGGCAATGTCAAAGAATATTAACTTTAGAAATCCTATTCCTTTGGATTCCCTGCTTTCGAGTAAAGTCAGTATTGAATGAGAGTTAATCACTAATATTCCTATGGGTTCTATAATACACTGATTACATCTATTCAACATGTATACCTTTCCAAGATCTTGAGAAGTTACAACTAGCTGAAAACTAATCAAACAGAAGCAGTAAAATTACACTGGTACTTACCAGGAAAGTAAAGTGTCTGTTAGATTCTTCCCAACAATAAATATCTTAATTTTGCATGTAAATACCTAAAAAGTACTTACAAAGGAAAAATTAGAAAAGATTCCTTAAATACTTTCCAAAATCCTTTCAAGGCTGTATGTATCTTGACAGGGCTTCTCCGTTGCTATGCAGCCAGTCTTGGAACTCTTTCTGTAGACCAGGCCGGGCTCAAACTCACAGAGATCCTCTGTCTGCCTCTTACTCCCAAGTGCTGGGATTAAAGGTGTGTGCTACCATTTTAAAAGTACATAAGAATTAATTTAAAAAGCTGACGTGATTGTGGCTGGCAATGCTGCCTTTTCTATGCAATAGAACCTACAAATATAAATGCACTTACTAGAATGACCTAAAGTCATGATCAAACTTATTAGCAATGTTTCTCTGACAGGTGGTGGAACAGCGTATGCCATCTATCAGTTAGCTGTGGCTGCATTTCCCAAGAAGCAGAACTGACTTTGTCATCCCAGGCTTCACATGGTTCAATTGCATTCAGCACTTGATGGATCTGGAATTTGATGAGTAACTGAGCTCTTTGGGGATCACTATTTATTGACGTGTACTAACTGTCAGCAATAAAGCAGTCTTTACCATGAGAAAGAAAGGAAGGAAGGAAGGAAGGAAGGAAGGAAGGAAGGAAGGAAGGAAGGAAGGAAGGAAGGAAGGAAGGAAGGAAGGGAGGAAGGAAAAGAGCTGACATGATTGTGGCTGGCAATGCTGTCTTTTCTATGCAATAGAACCTACAAATATAAATGCACTTACTAGAATGACCTAAAGTCATGATCAAACTTATTAGCAATGTTTTTCAATGGCATTCTCTAAATTTTCAAACAATAATTTTACATGCATTTACAATATATAACATATATTAGGTAGCTTTAGCACTGAAATTAGTCTATTGGTAAAACAGCTTGGAAGGATAAACCAAACTGATTCCCTCTCTATTCGCCTACTCAAATGTTGAGTATGACAGTTTTTTTAAAGGATAAAATAAAATTCTAAGTTTTGTTTTCACACCCAGAAGACTAAAATGCCTCTGACCCCCTCCCAATGTTTATGATACAAAATCCTGGAAAGTTATACACAGATCCCTAAACAAATGCAATAACTTTATTTTAGATTATCAAAAACTTATTAATTCTGAAAATTATCAACCAAGTAGTTAAAGCCATTCAAGTGTAAGTGACCTACTAGGACAAAAATTTTACTTTTGTAACTTTTATTAACATATACTCAGCCTCAAGGGTTACACTTGAAAACTCTCTGAAACAAATTTCTATGGCAATTTCCTTGTCTGTTTATACCACAACATTCCTGCAACCCTAGCCACTTTACAAAGGAAAATTTGCTTTAAAACTGATGGCTTCTATTTGAAAGAGGCTCTATTAACCCTTAAGTTTCATCAATCATGATATCTTAGATTATCATATATATTGCAACTGTTACATGCATAATGGATTCTGCTTTGGAATCTGCTGAGTCACAGATTTCTGCTAAGGTCCACAATCCCTAACACAAGAAAGGGTTGTTTATAGGCTGGACTCTCTGACAACAAACTTGGGCAGACGAGAGGACTTCCACAGTAGCATACACAGTGAGGACATGAGGCAAACGTACCAAATCCCAGCCTACAAAAAGCACCCCAACACTTACTAGCTTTCAAGAAACACAAGACACATTTTCAAGGCAGAAAAGATCATACTGGTAATGACTCTATACTGTCAGTGCAATTCAACTTAATCTTGAACAATTAAAATACTAGGCTAATACTTCAGAATAACACTTAGGTCTGTTTTAATAAATTATACATGAAACAAACTGTGTATATTGTGTTGTTTTGCAATACTTAGAACATCTTTGAGGGGCTGATGAGATGGCTCAATGGTTGAAATGCCTGTTGGAGATCAGATCCCCAGAACCCACATCAAAATGATAGGTGAGGCTGTAATTCCGGCCTTGGAAAGCAGAAGCAGGGGATCGGCAACAAGCTGATTAGCAAGGCTAGCTGCATCAGTGAGCTCTGGGTTTGCTTAGAAACCCTCTCTCAAATTATAAAGTGAAAGAGTAATTGAGGAAGATTCTTGACACCAACCTTAAGGCCTCTACATGTACCCACACAAACACACACACACGAAGAAAAACAAACATCTTTGATAATTCAACTGTGTTCAAATTGGTACATTTATGCTGAACATGGTGAACCAGTACTTAGAATGCTCAGACAGGAATAGTGCTGCAAGTTTGAGGCCATCATAGGCTACACAGTGATACCATTTCAAAATACCAGTAACAGTGAAGATGATGTTTAAACAAACTGTCAAGAGTTTAATTAATGCAATGCTGACAAAAAGTTTTAACTTTGAAACAGCTTAAAACATGCCAAGTATGTTTCAAGAAACCTGTTCTTGTTATAAAAGTAACAAATGAAATAGATTGATAATCCACAGCCTACTATTAATACTTTTCCTTGACTTTCTTTATAGGTAAAGTTTGAACATCTATTTTTTTATTAAGACAATAAATCTTTGTCACCTTGATAAAAGAACAAAAATGAACTTTCAAGTTCAGACATAGGTTTGTTAACGTGAAAGTGGAGTGGAATGGATAAAATAACTTTTGTTGGTCTTAAAGAATGGGGGAGGGGACCAATGAGATGGCTCAGCAGTGAAGGCACTTGTTCACAAGCATGGTGATCAGAGTTCAACACCAGGAACACACATAAAAGTGTAGGAGAGAACCAACTCCACAAAGGAATCCTCTGACCTCCACAGATGCACATGCATATGTACACACACCCAAATTAAATAACTAAAAAATTGATAGGAAGGAAATGTCTTCAATACATTCAATGTAAATAACCTAAAGTTTCATGTAGAAATAAAGATGTTACAAAGAGAAAAGTAATGGATACTTAAATAATTTGTAGTCTATAACTATAAAAATTGCTAAAATGCAAATACCCTTTTTGACTATTACCTATGATGAAATCAAATTAGAAACGTAACTGGGATATCTCTTTGTGCAAAGAAATTCAACTAAGCATGTAATATGTCAAAGAAAATACTCTGTAAATTCCAACCGCAAGCATATAAAAAAGAATAAGTAAAAGATGTGTTTCAATGAAAATCTGTGATAGTCTCAATGTTTCTGGTTTTGTTTTGGTTTTGTTTGAAATGCAATCTTATTCACCAGCCCAGGCTGGCCCGGAACTTGCCATCTTTCTGCTTCTGACACCATTATGCCTAGCTTAATAATGCCCAATTTTGCCACCTTGATATGGCTACTATAGATAATACCAATGTAACAGAAATAGCACAGTCTGAGGACACATTCCGCATTTTATTTACATTTCAAGACTAACTTTGATCTGAAATCACATATCCATACACCTATTTCCTTTTCGTTGCTTCACTTAAAACCTCTAAGCATGTTTTATTAAACAAAGACTGTAAACAAATATTTATCATGTCTGTTACATGGAACAAACGGGAACAGCTTTTAACAGAGATTCATCAATACCACAAACATCTTTTTATTATAAATACAGGTATCAAAACAATCCTGAAGCTATTTTGATGCTATAGTAGTCAGCACCCACACCCGCACCGCTTCGAGTTAACACAATTGTGACTACTCATTATACCTGCTACTTTAAACAGTTCGCTGTAGTCTAAGGACGATGGATAAAGCATGCCATTTCTGCTCTTCCTTCTTGAGACTTTATTGTTCAGAAAGACAACGGTTTCCACTGCCATCTGACACTCCTTTGCCGTGCTTTTGTCTTGAAAACCTGAATTCAATTTTGAATACTTCAGGCTCATGTTTAAATGACAGTGCTTTAAGAAGAGAAAGAAAAAATGTGCTGCACTTCTCCTGTTACCTGAAAACATAATAGGTGTACATATATTAAATATATTCTTACAACTGTCCAGGTCATGTTTACCAGCTGGAATTCTTTTACTTAATGTGTGGGTATTTTGCATGGTGATATTTAATCAAGACATTAACATGAGTAGAAGGTTGTTGATTTAAGACAAGTTTGAGATCCACTAAAATCAGTTGTTGTACGTTTGTCCTTCTGGTGGTTGTGGAAGCTTCATATTTTCTTTGGACATCATTAGACGTCTTAGCTCTTGGAGGACAACTTTAATGCTATAGGAATTTTGCCATTTTGCTAATACTGGTATGCTTCGTGCATCCACCTGAGAGGGGAGGAAAAGAGGAACAATTAATTACCAAAGTACTGCAGAACCATAGCTAAACATAGTGGAGCAAATCAGAGCAGAGAAGAGATCACAAGGTCAAGCCAGCCTGAGATAGACATGGAAATCCTGTTTCACAGTAAACAAAATTAATAATAGTACTACTGATGATAATGTACTACTATGTACCAATATTTTAAATATACCTTAACAAGAATGCTATACTATGACATTTCAGATTTAAATGTATACTGTAATGCTAAGGCTCATAATTAATATATTTAAAATAATATATTTTAAAAATATTCTTTAACAAGAAAAGCATTAACAAGATTTTCTAAAAATTTAAATTTTAAAATTTATTTTCTGTACTTTACAATAAACATACAGCAATCTTATTACCAGAGCTATCATATGCATACAAACACTATATTAAATAACTACTTTGTAAACATTTATAAACCTTCTTGATGATTAACATGAGTAGAAGGTTGATTTAAGACAAATTTTAGATCTACTAACACTGGTCAGAATACTCCTTTCTATTTCCAATAAAATTCAAAAGGAAGAAACAATTTAAACTACTTCTACATGTAGACAACATGATCTTATACACAGACAACTCAAAGAATAGCATTAAAGAAACTACTGGGAGTCCAGGAATGATGGAGTACACCTTTAATGCCAGCCACTCGGGAGGAAGAGGCAGGTGGATCTCTAATGGAGGAAGGTCATTGGTTAATAAAGAAAATGCTTGGCCTGATAGGTTAGAACATAGGTGGGTGGAGTAAACAGAACAGAATGCTGGGAGGAAGAGGAAGTGAGGCAGACACCATGCCTCTCCTCTCCAGGGCAGATTAGATGAAGCTCCTGCCCAAGATGGACGAAGGTCAGACATGCTGAATCTTTCCTGGTAAGCCACAGCCTCATGGTTCTACACAGATTATTAGATATGGGTTAAAGCAAGGTGTGAGAGTTAGCCAGCTAGAGCTAATGGGCCAAACAGTGTTTAAATGAATACAATTTGTGTGTTGTTATTTCGGGTATAAAGCTAGCCAGTGGCCAGGAGCCGGGCGGCGGAACACAGCCTGTAGCTCCTTACTACAGATCTCTGTAAGTTGGAGGCCAACCTTGCCTATACACTGAGTTCCAGGCCATCCAGGAATACATAGTGAAATCCTGTCTCAAACACATGGTGAGAGGAACAAGAAGGGGGAAAGGGGAAAAGGGAGAAAGAGGAAAAGCGGGGAGGAGAGAGAATGAGGGAGAGATAGAAAGGGAAGACAGAGAGGAGAGAGGGAGGACAAGAGGGAGAAAGAGTGGGGGAAGAAACTACTGAAGCTAGTATGTTCATAGGTATCCATGATTTAAAAAAAAAGTTGTATCTTTATCTACTTGTAATGAATCTAAAAACTAAAATTAAAAAATTTTAAAAATTAAGAAATTTACAGGGAAGGGATGGTAGATGAGAACATGAGGAAATAGAATAGTCAAGGGGGGAGAGAGAAGGAGTGGGAGAGCAATGAAAGAAACACCTTGATATAGAGAGCCACTATGGGGTTAGGGAGAAACCTGGAGCTAGCAATAGAGGAAAGGATGCCTGAACTGACCTAACCCTGTAGTCAGAGCGGTGAATACCCCAACTCTCATCAAAGCCTTCATCCAGTAACTGATGGAACCAGTTGCAAAGATCCACAACCAAGCACCAGGCCGAGCTCCAGGAATCCAATCAAAGAGAGGGAGGAGAGAATATATGAGCAGGGGAGGTCAAATTCATGATGGAGACATTTTCAGACAGCTAAACCAATTTTGTGGAGCCTCATCAACTCTAGACTGACAACTATGCAGTCTCCATGGGACCTAACTAGGCCCTCCATATGTGGGAGACAGTGGTGAAGCTTGGAATATCTGAGAGGCCCCTGGCAGTAGGACCAGGGTCTATCCCTGGTGCATGAGATAGCTTGTTAGAACCCAATCCCTATAGCAGGATGCCATGCTCAGCCTTAATGCAGGGGGAGAGGCCTGGCCCTGTCCCAACTTTAATGTGCCAGACTTTGTTGACTCCCCATAGGAATCCTTACCCACTGGGAGGAGTAGATGGGGGATGGGCTGCAGTGGGGTAGGGCAGGTGGGAGGAGGGGTGGGAGAAGGGGGGAATAACAGTGGTTGGAATGTGAGATGACTTGAGAAGGAAAGAGGGAGGGAGGGAGGGAGGGAGGGAGGGAGGGAGGGAGGGAATCAACCAAGTTACAATAGTAGGATCAAAAATAATAAGAACTGTGCAGCAGGAACTGAAATACTACTGACAGAAAGAAAAGGCCTAAATATGTGTACATGGATCAGTGAGCAGTGAGCTTGGCCAGCTGCTGGCTTCTAGGCAGCTTGGTAAGCTGATATAGAAGCTTGTCATGGAGCAGCCATGCACATGACCTATCCACTCTCCTAGGCAGGTCAGGATTCGAACCTAGCCACTAATACCTATGCACACGAGCAGATTCCTCACTTACATTGTACCAGTCTTCCTTGTAACATAGTAGGGCTTGATGAAGACAAGCCTTGGTGTTCAGTAAACAAACCTGCAGAACTGCAGTCTAATATCCTGAGAACAATGTAGACAGTATATAGTGAAGATTTTAAATATTCGCTAAGAGTTTTTTTGGGGGGATGGACTACATAGATGCCACACATGAAATTTTTTTAAAAAAAAGCCTTCAATGTATCTTAATACAAATTTATTTTACCCAAATCAATATTATATGACCATTTTAAGAATAACTAAAATATCTCCTATAGTACAGAAAGAGAGGGAGGGAGGGAGGGAGGGATTGATGTAGGGAGGGAGGGAGGGAGGATATTGGGAAGAAAGAGAAGGAAGAGGACCAGTGGGGAGGGGAATGGAGAACAAGAGTGGTGAATAATGAAATCCACTGAGGGCTACCTAAAAACATTGAGTAAAAAAAAAAAAGACTGCAAGATGAGAATTATGAAAAAAGTTGAAGCCATGCATATTAAAATGCAGTAAAGAAATAACAAGGTGACATTCTTGCCACTTGCATGTATATATATACATATGTATATATATATATATACATATATATATACACACACACACACAACTGTCTTTTTCTTAAATGTCCGAGTCTCTCCCTCAACATCGATGCTTGACTCTGCAATTAAAAATCTTTTCTTAGTAAACTGTGCTTCACACCAACTCATCCTGAAATTCTACTCTGTGACCCAAGTCAAGAATGCTAGGCCTCGCACTGGGGAGATGGCTCACTCAGTCATGTCATTACCAGGCAAGCTCAAGGACTTGAGTTAATTCCTTACACGGAAACCAAAAAGCTAAGAAGAGCAGTGTGCACCTGTACCCACCACAGGGGTGCCACAGAGCTGAAAGGCACCAGCCTAGCCAAATCAGCAAACCCAATTCAGTAAAAGGCTCAGAACTGAAGATGATGCCAAATGACAGCCTCTGCTTCTTTGAACAAACACGTTCACACAAACACAACCAATCGCCTCCCAAACATTGAAAGATGAGACTGCCAGAAGCATCTGAGGAGTCTATGAAAAGAAATTCTCAAGGCTCAACAGCCAGCGCATTAAGCTGCTTTTAAGATTGATTTTTTAAATTGTGTAAGTGAAAGAGAGAGCAACACGTGCACGCGCACAAGTGCAAGTGTGTGTGCATGCGCACACATGCATGCACACACACGGGCACGCACATGCATGCATGATGACTATAAATGTCCTTGTAGTGCAGAGGACAACATCAGATCCTCTGGAACTGAAGTGAAGGAGGTTGCTGAGTAGGCCCTCTGGAAAAGCAATATACATGCTTGTGCTGAACTGTTTATATGGCAACTTGACAGCAGCTGGAATCATCAGAGAAGGTATCTTAATCAAGAAAATACTTCCAGACTTGGCCTGTAGGCAAGCCTGTGGGACATTTTCTTGATAGATGGCTATGTGAGAA